TTGTGGGGTGGAGTCTACAGCAGCGGTAAACGCAAAATAGTAAACACGGCCTTCGGCCGCGTAAGGTACTGCTCGCTTTTCTTTTTAAAAAAACCTTGGCGAGAGGGGGTGGATATGGCCGAAAGTATTTTGCGGAATTCGTTGGATCCTGAGTAATGGTGAATATGATAATTTCTGCAAATTACTTTCGGACACATCCACCCCCTCTCGCCAAGATTTCTTAAAAAGAGAAGCGAGCAGTAACTTACGCGGCCGAAGGCCGTGTTTACTATTTTGCGTTTTTCTCGAAAAATAATGACTTTTGGTAAAAAATGCATAAAACATGAAATGTGTGTTTTTTAGAGATCTACAACTTTCGTCTAAAACTTTTTTCGAAGTTTTTTGTTTTTTACGAGATAATCGAAAAAAACCATGATTTTATGGTGTTTTTTATGGTTTTTACCATGATAATTAAATTTCCGCCAATTTTCACTATGATTTTCGTAATCAGCGCACCAAATTACGTAGGGATACCAAGTTTTATCGAAATCAGAGGTATGTGCTATTCGGAACTGCACCCAATATTTGTTCATGTGTAATATCAATTATTAAATAATTATTAAATTAAGTATAAGTGCAAAGTAAAAAAAATTAAATGTTATGAATTTAAAAAAATAAAAAAATTTACAACACAAATTATTTTTTGTAAAATAATTTATTAAAAATAAAATAATTTAATTAATATAAGTGATAATTATTATTTTAATTATTTATTGTGAATAATATTTTATATATTCTAAATAACATTAACTATTATTGGCTTCACATTACCTGTTCGTGGTAAAAATGGGAGTAATAAGCTAATAAGGATGAAATTTGCATTGGAAAGCGTGTTTTAGCATTTTGTAAAAAAGTGAGATTTTAAGTCCGGATGAGTACTTTGCCAGTATTATGCCAGTATTATTCTAGTACTACGTTAGTACTGGTGAGCGGGACAAAATCAGTACTGGACAGCGTTACCAGCCAGGGTTGGTCCACTACTGGCCCAGTACGGCAGTCAGTACTGTTATACTGACTGGCAGTGTTGGGTCAGTACTATGCCAGTGGCACATTTCTACTTGGGCATTTTCTACGTAGGTCCAAAATCTTACCTACTGTGAAAGTGGCATAAGTACATAAAACAGTATAACAGCATCTAGAATGGGGAATTTTACTTTTAGAATTTGTAAATTTACATCTCGTAGTGTAAAAGTACACCACACGGTAATTTTAAATATTATACACTGAAAAAAAATCATGGTAAATTTGACTAAATTTTAACTATTTCTCCTAGTTCTAGGAGGCGCCTATTAACAAAAAGTAGTTGAGACAACTATGTAAAAACGGTTAAATCAACTGTAAAATTTAGAAAAAAAAACTATTCAAAGTAGTAAAATTATTATTATTAATACTAGTATTGAGATCCATTTTTTCACCCTCTCCCCTACTACTTTCGTTTATATATGCCTTATGTTATTTAATTTTTGTATACCTAACAGAGAAAAATCCCTAAACGCTGGGGATTGAACGCACGACCCTAACATTCGCAAGCCGACAACTTAACCATCTAACCACGCACGCACGCTAAGATGGCTTGCATGATATTTGAGGACATTCTTTCAACTATACAAATTATAAAAATAACTATTTTTAATACTTATTTTAATTACATAAAACAGTAAGTCTAATGGTTTTACTGCATCTAGGAAGAAATGGTTTCTTCAACTACATAAATCATAAAAATAACTATTTTCAACACTTATTTTAACTACATGAAAACAGTAAATCAAATTTTTTTCTGCAACTAATAAGAAATGTTTCTTTCACCTAAACGCAAATCCTAAAAATAACAATTTCTAACAGTAGTTTTAACTATTAATATGTTGTAAAGCCATTTAAAATCACATGACAGTTATTTCAACTACAAATATTAGTAATTTTGACTAGGTGAAATTGACTACTAAAATTTAGTACCACCAAATGTCTGAGTTTAGTTTAAATGGTTCTGAATATGGTACTTTTAACTGCTTTTTTTAACTACATATTTTCAGTCATTTTTACCAATGCTATTTTTTGTGTGCAATCGTATTAAAAATATTTTAATTGCCATTTATTTTTATATTATAGAATTATTACTTTTCTTCATTGCAATGAAAAATATGTGATACAAATAATCAAATTTATATAAACATTTATTTGTAACAAATTATTATTATTTGAGTTACAATATATAATATTAATATATTAATATGTGTGTGACGAGATAAAAAGGAATAAAAAGGAATATATTGAGCAAAAAATTTTAGGTTACATTGCGTTTCATATCGGGTCACATAAATATATATATATATATATATATATATTATATTAATAATATTATTAAAAAACGAAAAGTAATTCACAACACCTAAGTATTATCATAACTATTACTTTTAAAGTGACAAATGAGTATATTTACTTTTATATGCAAAAGTGAGAAAATTGTATTTGTTTCATTTTCAAAGTTGAAAAACTACTGGGTTTTTTAAATTTACTATTTTGAGTGGGTTTATTTAATTTTTATAAATGTAAATTTCCACAAAAAAATATAAGACTACAATTTTGTGTACTTGTGCATTATAGAGTATTTTTGTTACTTTCAAAGAGGGTCCATTTTCTTACCTACTTGGAAACTCACACAAAGACAATACAATCTTGTACTATTACAACGTTTTGTCCTTTTCCCGCTACGAAAGTTGTAAAATTACAAGTTCGATTGTATTTCTAAATTTAAAAAGTGTATTAATACCTCACTAGGAGTAGTAAAATTACATAATTTCTAAAATGTAATTTTACTATTTCAAAATGTAAATTTTTTTTATTTTTTACAGTGTATATATAAAAATTGTCTAAAAGTTGCAATTTTTTTCTGACTTAAAAAATCAGTATTTAATTCATATGCAATAAAAAAAATTTGCATGACATCTGTATAAATGCGACAATCGAGGACACCAATGCAATAACCAGACGGACGCTCGGACCGGCCGCGCTGAAGCCAGTCAACGAATGAAAAAGTCGAAAAAATTAAAATTCAAAATTTTGATTTTTGAAATATACTACGTTGTAGAAAATAAAACAGCGCATCTTTTTTTTCTTTAACTTTTTTTTGTAGAATGAATAGTTTTGACAATAATTGCAAAAAACTAAATATTTTTAATCAACAAATTTTATTGAACACGGAGAGAAATAGATGGTAAGAAATTATGAACTTAAGATGGTAAAAAGTAGATGGTATCCGGTACAATCTATATGCTACTCGGTACCATCTAGATGTTAAAAAAGTGAGGTTATGTTACCCACTTTACAATCAAGATGGTACTCCGTACAATATGTATAGTATCCCGTACAATATAGATTCCTGTCCGTATATGTATCATATATGATACCTGATACTATCTAGATAGTACCACGTACCATCTATTTCTCTCCGTGAATTTTTAAACACAAATCGTTCCAGTTCCGACAAATATTAATGAATTTACTTCAACTTTGGTATACCCACGCATTTAGGTCTAGAGAAGACGATAGCATGATGAAAAGGTTAAAAACCGTAAATTATTTAATTATTTATTAATTTAAATAATAACTTACCTGTACTCTCGTTTTCCTATCTTCGCCGACAAAAAGTCTGTGGGGAACTTTTTCGTTGAAAAAACTTCCAGTGAGACATTTGTTCCTCACATATCGAAGAAGTTTTGTGGAAAAATTCAGATCGATTTATTCAAAACTGACGAAGATACACAATTTTTAATGAAAAACACGCAACGCTTTGGCTGATTTGTGTGTTTATATTGCTGAACATCGACCTTATCGACAATGCCGTCTGGCAGTGTTGGATCGTGGATCGTGGAGTTATTTTGATTGGCGTTACGTGTTTTTCATTAAAAATTGTGTATCTTCGTCAGTTTTGAATAAATCGATCTGAATTTTTCCACAAAACTTCTTCGATATGTGAGGAACAAATGTCTCACTGGAAGTTTTTTCAACGAAAAAGTTCCCCACAGACTTTTTGTCGGCGAAGATAGGAAAACGAGAGTACAGGTAAGTTATTATTTAAATTAATAAATAATTAAATAATTTACGGTTTTTAACTTTTTCATCATGCTATCGTCTTCTCTAGACCTAAATGCGTGGGTATACCAAAGTTGAAATAAATTCATTAATATTTGTCGGAACTGGAACGATTTGTGTTTAAAAATTCAATAAAATTTGTTGATTGAAAATATTTAGTTTTTTGCAATTATTGTCAAAACTATTCATTCTACAAAAAAAAGTTAAAGGAAAAAAAGATGCGCCGTTTTATTTTCTACAACGTAGTATATTTCAAAAATCAAAATTTTGAATTTTAATTTTTTCGACTTTTTCATTCGTTGACTGGCTTCAGCGCGGCCGGTCCGAGCGTTCGTCTGGTTATTGCATTGGTGTCCTCGATTATTTTTAATCAGATGCCCTAGACAGAAATCCTGTGCACGAGCTTTTTTGATGATGAATTTACTAAAAATGTAATATGTTTAGTTTTGACAAGAAACAAACTTTTAGAGATATGACTTTTCGGATGTAAAGTTTATAATCAACGATTATAAAACAATAAAAAATAAGAAATTGAACTTGATTAAAAAGAATAAAATTTTTTTAATTATTTTACTTACTTATTTACTTGTAAATGAGCGTACAATGTAGAAAAATTTTATTTTAGAAAAATCGAATAAAATGGAACTTTATTAGAAAAAGAAAAATTAGAAAATATATTTTAGAAATTCGGAAAATTTTTGTATCTCATTAGTGAAATTTTCATTTATAGCCAAATTTCAATTTAAGAACTTTTTTCTATAACTGAATTTTCATTTCCGTAATTAATTGTTAAAAATATATAAAAAAAGGTTTTATCAACAAAAGAAGATGTTTTAATATTCAAAAAGTACAAACAAAGCATTTTTTTTAAGGTTATCTCAAGATGATGATTCAAGTAGTCAATAACTTGTGGTGGTAAACATTAGCAGTGAAACTTTTCCCCAACACAAACGTAAGTGATTTATATTTTTATTATTTGATGAAAAATGTTTTCCTAGTACGATAAACAATTATATTACTAATATACGAATAAATATATGAGAAATTTCAAGTGAAGTGATCAAAGTGAAAAAAAAAATTCTAACTTAACCCAATATTAATTTAGTAGAATTTTCATTCAACAAAATCTCAAATGATTTGAATTTTTATTTGCACAAATTGTTGTTTGATAGAATTCTTAAAACGCCGAATTTCCATTTGTCCAAAACTTCAAGTGTCCAAAAAGAAATCGATAAAAAGTGTTTTTGTGCGAATTTAAATTAAATTATACAGAATTCTTAAAACACTGAATTTTTTTTTGTCCGAAATTGCAAATAACCAAACAAACAATCAATAGAAAGATTTCGGCGCTTTTTTTAAATTCCCTGTTTTTTTAATTCTGAATTTTAATGAGATTTTGAGGAAAGAAAAACCATCATTTTTGTGGGTATAATTACCCCGGTCGATAGTGAAAAAATATTTTTCTCGAATGTTAGATAAGTCTTACTATATCACAACAAAGAATTCAATGTAGGAAGAATGTATTTATCGTTGTCAGCAGTAGCAGGAAATCTGTTACAATTAAATAATTGGTTGTCTGCGATAAAAAATTCAGTTTAATCCACCAACACATCTTTTTGCTTATACTTGAAAATATAATATAATTCTTGAGATGTACATATAATATAAGGGCATAAGATTTTGATTTTAATTTAATTTTATTAAAAAAAAACATCAATAAATTATACTTTCTATGTTGGTTATTACTTTTTTTTTACGATGCGTACCGATTCTTTTTTATTTGTACAGGAAGTATAAAGTGCGGAAAAAATATTTTGAAAAGTGTATACGTAATAGTTATAGCGCAAGTGGCATTAAACTCTAAATTGTAAGTTATTTTTGGAACGATATATTCAAGAGGCGAAAAAAACTATATGGGCCAAAAAGAACTGCAAATTAATCTGTGAATCATGTCTTCCTTTACAAAAGCATATATGTATAGCTTATGCTTTACAGATTCTGATCTTTTGTTTCAATGAAACATACATATATATATATATATATATATATTGAGCATAGGCCGTTGACAACAACATTATATTCTGTGATTCAACTCGGATGTGGTCGAATGCCTAATGTTGCTTTTAGTATATAATGACTAAAAGTCGTTTTTAAACGCAACAAAAAAATATTTTTTTGGGACGCATGAATATTCCGCAAACTGAATTATTTTGGAATTTCTACAGTTTCGAAATTAAATTTTTATTTAACTCTATTTATAATTAAAGGAATATTTATTCAGTCGAACTTTTATACAACAGATTATCTAGTTCACTGAATTTTTATTTCATATAATTTCTATTTAACAGAATTTTTATTTTGCAAAATTATCATAATACAAAATTTTTATTTAACCGAATTTTCAATAAAGAGATTTTTTATTTAAACCAATTAGGATCAGTTGCGGTAAATGGGGACAAAATCGCTATTTTTCACAAATTACGTAAGTTTCTTCCTTTAAAAGGTAATATTTGCGGGTTTATATTTTTTTAAGTTGTTATTTACATTTCCAGGATTAATTTTATGCAGCAGAAAAAAATTTAGATAAGCTTTAAACGCATGAAACTGACTGTCCTCATTTACCCCAAAATTTAGAAAATTTCATAAAATTTGGGGTAAATGGGGATAGCATAGTTTTTAAGAAAGTTTTAAGAAAAAAGTTTCCTTAAGTATATTACTGTATTAAAGGATGAAAAAACTTGAAAAAATTTGTAGTAGATATTTAATAGTTGAACCAATTGAAATTTTTAAAATTTTTTTTATTTATTTATTTTTTTCTATTTCAGTATTTTGTCTCGCATTTAAAAAAAACAGACTTAAAAATCATACCAAATTTTTTTCTTATTCCTTATGACTGCCATAACAGAAATTTACTTGAATTTTTGATTTTTGTCAATTTGGTTAATAATGACAAGCTGTCCCCATTTACCCCAAAAATTCGAAAACTCAGGGCAAATTGGAACATCTTGCCATTATTAACCAAATTGACAAAAATCAAAAATTCAAGTGAATTTCTGTTATAGAAGTCATAAGGAATAAGAAAAAATTTTGGTATGATTTTTAATTCTGTTTTCTTAGAAATGCTCGACAAAATACTGAAACAGTTTGACTTTGATTTTCAAGTTTTTATGCATTGAGCGATAACTTTTTTTATCTTGCTTCCAATTGTCAAGATAAAAGCTTGGCAATACTCAAACCTCCACGAGAGAAGGGACTTTATGTCAAAAAAAATAATTTAGGTTATGTTATTTTAATCATAAATGTTTTGAATTAATATATGATTCTCTATGAGTAATTTCACGTCGAAATTCATAAACATAACCTAAAATTTTTTTTGACGTAAGGTCCCTTTTCTCGCAGAGCGTTACATATTATTTTTGAATAATTTTCATTCAACAGAATTTGAAGTGATTCGAATTTTTAAATGCAAAAATTTTCAATTCGCTAAGAATCTTCATTTGTCCAAAATTTTTTATTTGATAGAATTCTTAAAATGTCGAATTTACATTTGTCCACAAACTGCAAAAAATGTTCGACAGAAAACTTTCGGCGGGAATTTAAAAATCAACCAATCACAAATTTTCTTGATAATTTCTGATTGTTTAAATATTTTAAATTCACGCCGAAAGCTTTCTGTTCATTGTTTGTCCGACATTTGCAGTTTTTCACAATTCTGTAAAATAAAAATTCTGTACCTAAAAAATTTTATTAAGTGAAAATTCGTTTAAAAAGAAATTAAAATTGAAATATAATATATAAAAAAAGAAATAGGTATTTCCTTTTATAAAAAAATATTATTAACAATTATCATAAAATATAACCTAAAAAACTCACGACAACAGATCGAATTTTTAAACGACAGAAATTCTAATTCACCGAATTTTTATTTGTACAAATTTATAATTCATAGAATTTTTAAGACGCTGAATTTTCATTTGTCCGAAATTACAAATGACCGAATAAACAATCGACAGAAAGATTTCGGCGCAATTTTTAAAATTGACCAATCACAATTTTCTTGATAATTTCTAATTGGTCAATTTCCAAAAATTGCACCGAAATCTTTCTGTCGATATTGTTTGTTCGGCTATTTGTAATTTCGGACAAATGAAAATTCAACGTCTTAAAAATTCTATCAATTAACAATTCATGCAAATTAGAATTCGATGAATTTGGAAATTTTGCCATTTAAATATTCGAATCATACAAAATTCGATTGAATGAAAATTCTGTTAAATTAAAACTCTCTTAAATTAAAATTTTTCTTAAATAAAAATTCATGTAAATTAAATGACTATAAAATAAAAATTCTGCCATACAAATATTTAGTAGCTAAAAATTTTCTTAATTAAAAATTCGTATATATAAAAAGAAATTTTATCAAATGGTAATTCGGAATTTGAAAATTCGTCTAAAAAATAATTATTTCTAATAAAATTCTTTAAAATGATAATTCTAATTAATGATTTTGTAAATTAATCATGCGCCCCTTTCGGTCGAATAAAAATTCTATATCTAATAAAATCTTTACATATCAAAACTAGAACTAATGAATTTTATGAGATATTCATTCACTCCTTTTTGTAATATTTTTTTTTATTTCACTCCTCCATAATGAGTTTTTTGCTCTCGGTGTCACTGAATTGACAACATTATACATATATATGCTTAACATCCGTATTCATTCACCAATTCACTTTTCAGCAATAAGTTTGGTTCTTTTTCTTCTTTTTTTTTTTTTTTCTTTTTTTTAATTTTTTCGTTGAGGTCAATTCTCGTTTAAGTGCAAACTAGTGTAGGTAACGAGGTCATAATCCGCGTAGCGCATTTCCTTATTGCAGTGCATTTAAATTCAGTTCAACGAATTGCAATAATCTGCAGCCGATCAATCTTAGAGGTCAAAGCTCGGAAGCAATCGCCTATTGATTGTCTTCTTCGATAATGATGACACTAATTAGTAATTACCATTTAATTTTGTATTTGTTTACACTATTTGAAAAGAAAAAGGAAATAAATATAAAAAAAAAAAAAAATAAAGAAGGTAACATATCAATGACTGATGCTGTGATAATAATAAATTAATTTCATTTAATCGTAGTTTTCAAAATTCTCTATAATATATAACTTTAATATTAAATTTTAATGATAAATAATTAATGTAATAATAATTTTAATATAATTAGTATGATAATAATTCTCTGATATAGAAATTTTAATTAAAGTTTACTTCAATTAATGGTAATTTTAATTATAATTCTGTTTTCAATTAGTCGTAAATTTAATTATAATTGTTGATCGAATTTTCGATATAATTGATGGTTTCAAAATTAATATATGTTTTAATTAAAAGATAATTATAAACAGTGCAGTGTTACAATAAACGATAAATTTTCTAAAATTGAATTATTACACTATTAATGGTATATATATAATCAATTAATTGTAAATTCAATAAATGGTTTATTTTATATATACTGTTATTATTAAATATAGGTAATTGAACAATATTTTTTATTTTATTGAAAATAAATTATTTAATTGCGCTCGACTTGTCATAATTTTTGTGTATACAAATTCATTTTTTCAAAAAACTCAAAGTTTCGGGAAAAAAAATTTTTTTTAAATATTTTTAAAACGCACAGTAAACTTGGTTGTATCTTTTTCTATTGCAACGTTTTGATGCACATAAGTTATATCAAAAAGAGATCGTTTTGTGCATCATTTTTAGAAATGATACACGAAACGGTCTCATTTTTTGATGCAAAAAATTTAATCAATTTATATCAATCATGGCCGAATTGAATCGACTCAAAATTAAACGAATTTTTTCAGATATTTTGGTAATAGTACAATTGCGGAGACCATTTCACTATCTAATTTGAAAATGAAAATAACAGAAAATCAAAGACAATG